ACAGAAGTGGTAAAGATGAACTTAGGCTAGAAACAGAGAAGGTGAGAATGCTCTCAGGTTAGAGACAGAAGTGGTAAAGATGAACTTAGGCTAGAAACAGAGAAGGTGAGAATGCTCTCAGGTTAGAGACAGAAGTGGTAAAGATGAACTTAGGCTAGAAACAGAGGAGTGAGAATGCTCTCAGGTTAGAGACAGAAGTGGTAAAGATGAACTTAGGCTAGAAACAGAGGAGGTGAGAATGCTCTCAGGTTAGAGACAGAAGTGGTAAAGATGAACTTAGGCTAGAAACAGAGAAGGTGAGAATGCTCTCAGGTTAGAGACAGAAGTGGTAAAGATGAACTTAGGCTAGAAACAGAGGAGTGAGAATGCTCTCAGGTTAGAGACAGAAGTGGTAAAGATGAACTTAGGCTAGAAACAGAGGAGGTGAGAATGCTCTCAGGTTAGAGACAGAAGTGGTAAAGATGAACTTAGGCTAGAAACAGAGAAGGTGAGAATGCTCTCAGGTTAGAGACAGAAGTGGTAAAGATGAACTTAGGCTAGAAACAGAGGAGGTGAGAATGCTCTCAGGTTAGAAGAAGATGTCAGTTACTTTCTCATAAGAGAAAAAGAGACACTAACTGGGATTGGTAAAGAAGAGATAAATGTGGCAGAACATGTTTAGACTAAGACTATCAACACAAATCATCATAAAAGTCTGCTTTTACATGCTAGTAATACCAGACATTACCATCTTGGCATGAACTTTGACAGATGCTTGTTTTACAAGTATCATGAATACAATGGCAAACCCAGCGCCAGGAAAGGTCTGACATCACTGGTTGATAGCAGCAGCTAATAGGGGAACAACAGCTACTGTTTCTTCTCTACCAGGGCCTTATGTAAAGCATTACAGGCTGTGATCTGGTCCTCCTCACTGTCAGCAGAACCCTGAAGGAAGATTAGATAGGACAAAATAAGGCCTTGAGACTCATACTCAATTGCACAAAAGACACTTCATGCAGTGTTAAGCAATATGTCCTTGATTTACCACCAATTGCTATCAGACATAAAGTTGCACAGTTGTAGGTATATACGAGGATATTAGCAGACATTAAGCACTCTCAGCAAAAAGTTACAGATGTCCTAAAAGGAGTGCATCTCAAATGAGGCTGCTCATAGATGGCCAAGACTATACTAAATCCAGCTAGTATGTGACCTGGAAGAACTTAGGCACGGAAAAGAGTTGGTGGATGCATCAGTAGACATGTATAACCATTCTAAGGTTTTCATCACAGTAGGGAGGTGCTGCAAAAATAAGATTCTTGCCACCATAGACACAGAGATAAGGGCACTGATACACTGGCATTCACACCCAAAAGATGTCAGCTACATAAATGGATCAGTGAAGCATGGGTCAAGATCAGCATGGGCATACACAGTGCACAAGATCAGAAAAACAATAATAGAATAGTGGTGTTTACCAGGCGACTATGGCAAGCATATGCGCTGTCTGAGACGCATCCTTGGTATATTATGGCGAGACCTTGTCTTCAACGAATGTGTGCTCACAAGAGCAAAAATACCATCAATGTATTGTATACTGAAGCAAAGACGTCTGCGCTGGCTGGGACATGTCTCCCGCATGGAGGATGGTCGTATTCCAAAAGATCTCCTATATGGTGAATTGATAACTGGGAATAGACCTACAGGAAGGCCAAAGCTGCGCTATAAAGATGTTTGCAAACGTGACCTAATAGATACCAACATAGGCACAGAGACATGGGAAAAATCAGCTGCAGATCGACTACTATGGAGACAGAAAGTGAAAGACGGACTGTCACATTTTGAAAGAAACCGAACACAACAAGCTGTGGAGAGGAGACACCGGAGAGTAAAACTGCCTCACAACGAGAGAGTATCTGCTTTTGTGTGTATCCTGTGTGGCAAAGACTGCCATTCCCGCATCGGACTTTACAGTCACAACAGATGCTGTTCCCAAAGCCAGCGGCACATCTCCACAGTCCCCCGGGACTGACGGATGCCATTAATATGGCAAGCATGACTGTGGATATAACCACCACCTCAAGAGCACTCACTTGGGAATGGGAACAAGCAGCCACACACCCAAACATATTCTATTTTATGAATCTGCTTCAGAAAATCACAACAGGTGGCCTCTGCTCTGAAAGGATAGACAGCATTTGGGTCAAACTTTCTCATGCCATCTGGACCTGAGCATGCCAGAGTAGAGGGTAATGAACAAATGGACCAGTGCATGTTGGCAAAAGAATGGGCAGAGCTTCGTCTTCTTCTTCGTTCACCGGCTGTGAATTCTGGCGGAAGGTCCCGGTTAATAGTCCGCTTGAACTTTAGGCTTTTACCTGGACCTGAGTTTTGCGTGTTCAACTGTTTTATTGGCTTTTGCCGTTCCCTGCCTCACGGGCAGATGTACTCTGACTTTGAGGGAAGACGTCAGGCCTATTTCTAGGATGACTGTGGCCATTGTTTTGTGTTGGTCGAGATGTTACCTTATGTGTGTGGTGTCCTCTTTGTCCCTTTCTCCGCAGGAGTTGCCCCCCGAGTACCCCTTTTGGGGCAGCCCTTCGTGGAACTGGTAGCCCTCAAGGGAAGGCAGGGGCAGATCATGGGCATTCCCCACCATCCAAGGAGGCTTCCATAAATGCAGAGCCGACACATCACGCTCTGGTTCTGGGCTCACCCAGGGATTCGTCAGGTCCTGCACATAACTGCTCAACCTCACAACCGTATTAGGCTTCCTGCTCGACACGGGCTGACCTTCCGGAGATCAGTGGGAAGCAGCCAGTGGGTTCTGGACTTTTGTGACCACACAAATAGGTACAATCTTTATCATCGCACGATTGTCATCTTTAGCGTGTTGTTAGCACGACAGAATGGAGAATCCTGCGTCAGGCAAGTCTTTATCTGTTAGGTCCCAACACTCGGGCGAGTGGGGTCTCGGGATGTGGACATTTGGACTTTTTCCCAATCAATATGATTTATAATGGTCAGATTTTGAGCTTGCTTGTGTGCCGTAGGATCTATTTTTGTCAGACATTTGGGCTTAACCAGCCGATAGATGGTTGCTGTCTTGGTGTACCTCAGTGCGGTGGCGACGACACTGAGGGTTGACAGAGGATGTACATGGGTAGAATCTTGCTGCAAGACACCACCCACAGTAGATATAACTTGTCTGTCCTGCGGGTAAATCTCTAGGTCAAGGGTTGAGTCTCAGCAACAGAATGTTCTCTTCACCCCACAAACTTTTAACCAAGGGTTGTCATTTTAGTTGTACGTTTGGCAAGCACTTTACTCATGTTCCTAATGAGTTTTGATAAGCTTTTTCACCCTTGCGTTGGGGGGGGGGGGGGGGGGGGGGGGGGGGGGCAGGCTGATGTGAGTTACAAGGACACTACACCTCTGGGAGCCGCCAACTCTGAGATCCCCTGACAGCTCTGTTAATGCTCATTTGAGACATTATCCGTGGCACACGACGAGGACGTGCTGCAGGAGTCTTGCGTGAGGATCCGTAAAACCAGAACGGTGCAGGACTGGCGCCCGAGTGACGTACGGAGTAACTTATTATACACATCACGTTGTACTTAACTTTACCTCACACCTGTGAAAGAAATCACCATGCCACAATGGGCAGAGCTGATATCATAAACGCTGTTAAGGACCAAGTTGGTGATGGACAATAACAGGTCTCAGACTCTAGCCCAATTAGATGACCTTGGAGTAAAACCTGATAAAGCTATCTATGCCATCTTCAAGGTCAAGATAAGAGACATTATAAACAACTTCTAGTGGGAACAATTAGTAGAGGCACCTGGTAGGGGTTGGCTGCCTCATCGTAGGACTGAAAACACACGGGAATGCCAAATCTGCAGTGATGTTGATTATATCATAACATAATCAAACATAACCAGAAGGTGTAAACATAAGGCAGAAATTATAGGACTTATATGCAGTTCATTGAAATGGACAATGGGCTGGTTACCTGAAAAGGACTATGGACTCCACAACTCTTGCATCTGTAACAAGCGGCATCCATATCCTGGCTATCCTCTGAATAACTGTCTCAAATTATCGAGGCTGAAAATATACCCTAACAGGGCCTCAGTTACATGTAAATTGCTGACTACCTCCACCGCCGAGAGTATCTCCCATGCCACTACACATGGCGCAGAGCGGGGCTAAACTAGATGGCTGGGACTCACGAGCAAATAAAATAAAGGAAGCTGCAGTAGATGCGTTAGCTGCTGCTCCTAAGTCCCAGCTATCTAGTTTAGCCACCTTTAGCGGCGCGGGAGATACTCTTGGCAGTGGTGATATAGTCACCAGAAAGAGGTCCGCAATTTACATGTGACTGAGGCCCTGTTAGGGTATATTTTCGGCCTCGATAATTTGGGACCTTTATTCGGCGGATAGCCCATATCCTTTTATCCTTTACTCCTTTGATTTAAGAGACTGAGCACTCATAGTGCAAAGTGCAGTTAAGTTATGGGGCCCCTTGGAGGGAGGGAGTGGGGGGAAAGACCCACTACTTCTATAACAAGCATGCTGTATATGGCGACTGTTTAAAGGTTTTCTGAAATAATTGGATGCTCAAGCTGAATGCTACAGCTGTTCCTGCCTGAAGGTGTCAACACAATGTACCAGCTGCACTTTCAGGGTGAAGAAAGAAGAAGAAGAACTTGTCCTTACCTAAGACACTACACCATTGGTAGTGCTTGTTGAATATTTACAATACTGTAATTAAAAATTCTCAAGAGTTTAAAAGGGTTTCTGGGTTTTGTCTGGTTGGACTGACATCCACAGTACATTTCAGTCACTGTGTGTTTAAATCTTCAGCTAGCAACCTGAAGGAAGGAAATAAGTCAGTCAGTCAGCTGAGGAGAATAAACAAGGTGTCTTGAGAGGGAAATCCAGAAAAAAACAGCAACAGAACAGACAGATTAAATATGGGAGTCAAGAAAATAAATATTATATCTTGTATACAGATTGCTGAAAAACATAAGGGGGAACAGATGGGCCCCATCATGAGATTAGAGGGCAAAAGGACACCAAAAGAACCCAAAATAAGTCGCCTGCATCAGGAATCAACTGGCAGGCAAGTAGAATTTGTGTATGAAACTTGTTGCCTTTTAAGGGTAAAAATCAGGGCTTTTCCTGCCGGTACACAGTGGTGCACCAGGGAATCTATTCCATTGCATGCTTCACTCAGTTCATATTTATTGAATACCATTTATGTATCATTGTTCAAAAAATAAACTAAGTTTATAAAATTTATTTGTGACTTGTGAGATATAGCATAAATATTTTGGTCTTGAGGAACCAGAATGTATAAGATAATCCAACAAATTGTCTTTGTCTTCACTGCCTCTTTTACCATTTCAGTATCGATAAAGATATAATGTTCTGTTTCTTGCTGTTTAATGCCTGGGGAAGTAAAGACGGCCGGCGTAATGCTGACCACATTACCCATCGAGTGCCGATTGGTCTGTAAAAATATGGGTGCTTTTCCCATATGCCCGATGCGCCTAAAGGCGTGAAAAGGGATCTTTACTTTACTTTACTTTATTCATAGGGTGAAAGGGTTAATATAGGTTGGTAATTTTGTGTCTTTGTTGTTCACTTTTATTGACGATGGTTTCAGTAATGTTTTGTATGACTGTTTTCTTAGTGGCTGGGATGAAGCACCTCCACATCACCGTATTCGACCTGAAGCTGAGCAAATCGCACAGAAGAACAGTGCTGACTCCATTAATGAGATCATTCTACAGAATGGTTTCACCCCTCCTCAGAGAAAGGCAGCTAAGATTTTGAAACACCTGACGGAATCTCCAACTACGTAAGTGTTTCATCATCATCATTATTCTTCTGCCCTCCTGGTGTTGTTTTTCCTCTCTGGATCATGATAGGGAGACATTCCTGATGTGAACTGTAAACATCATCATCATTGTCCTGGGTTCACTATTAATATCTTACCCCAGATGACGTCACAGGACAGTCGAACATTTTAGAGGGTGGTAAGACTGGGTTTCCTGGCTTTCTGATGCTCTTAATGACCCCAAAACATCTAGAACTGGCCCTAACCCTAACCCACCTATGACCCACAAGAGAGTGCAGCCTAGTCCCACAAATGCATGCAGCCTAAGTCCCACGACTGCATGCAGCCTATCTACCACCCCCTGAAATATTAGACTGTCCCGTGACCTGTCGATTTCCCCTGTTTGGGGCAGGATATTGATAACCCACTGCATCCTGTGGTGCCATTATATGTCTCATGGGGATCGCAGTCTATTCCTCCATGCCATTCTATCCTGTGCAATCAGTTCAAAAATGGATGTATCCAGTCCTGCACTTTGGCCTCTCTTATCAGCATTCATTTGACGGATTCCTTTGGGAGAAAACTCACTTCCTTTATTTCTCATTTCAGTGCCCGTTTGGTGATTCTCTGTGTACTCTCTATACCTTAGACACTATGATATCGCATTAATCTTGTGATCTTGAGAAACTGAAATTGATAAAATAATCCAACAAATTGTCTTTATCTTGACTGCCTCATTTACATCTTCAGTATTGAGCCAGATATACTGTTCTGGTTCTTGCTCTTTAACTCTTTGAGTCCCAGGGGGTTTAGCATCAGAGGCCCAAGGGGTAGTCAAGAGAGACCTAAAACTGGTGCATCTTGCGTTTATTGGGCCTCTAGGTAGGAACTTATGAACGTATAGTGCGTTTTTGGGACTCAAAGAGTTAATGGAAAGGCTAAATGCAAGACATTTCTGGGTACCCAATTTGTGACCTTGTAAAAATAAAGTTTGTTTGTTTGTCCTTTCATTCAGTCTTTGAGCCACGTTGATCATATACACAGCGTAGTGTGGTAGATTGTATCCCATGTTATCTTACCATTTTGTTAGTGGTCTGCCTCTTGTTCTATGTCCCTCTCCTCTTTTTGCGAATGCCTTGTATGTTATGGAGTCACAAGGCATTCTCTTTAATTGGGCAAACCATTTTATTTGCAATATTTTATGTAATTTAGTATTAGTTCTGTGCTGTTTTTGTCTCTTTTATGACTAATTCCTGATATGATCTCTTTTGGTCACTCCTTCCGTTTTTCTAGGACATCTCATATCCTTGATTACACATTTTTTGGTCTGGTTTGTGGTAAGTGACCAAGTCTGCCACTGGTAGCATATGTTGGGTGATTAAATCCATTTAATTCCCTCTATCTGAAACTTTTGATAAAGTGAAACATAAGGACATTTTTAGAATTGCAGAAGCCTTAAACATTGATGGTAAAGATCTGAGAATAATAAAAAACTTACACTGGCAACAAGAAACAGCCCTAAGTATTGACAACCAAGTTGAAATTTTTCAAAACATTAAACAAGGTGTTAGACAGGGATGTCTATCATTACCCAGTTTATTCAGTCTGTACAGTGAAATTATAATTAGATCCATATATGGTATGCTAGGAATCTTGGTTGGTGGGCATATTGTTAACAACCTGCGATATGCTGACAGTATAGTTTTGATCACTGAAAATAAAACACATCTGCAAGAAATGATGGATATAATTGTAATGAAAAGTGAAAACAAGGGTCTTAGTTTGAACAGTAGAAAAACAGAAGCAATGGTAATTATAAGGAAAACCCTTTAAAATGCAACATTAAAGTAAATGGGACAAACCATTAAGCAAGTTGATCTGTTTAAGTACTTGGGTACCCTGATAATAACATCAGATGGAAGATGCATTAAAGAAGTTAAATGTAGAATAGCTCAAGCAAATGCAGCATTTTACAAAATAGAGAATATTTTATGTAATCTTTCTTTGTCAATTGATATAAAAAAAGAGAATTCTTAAAAGCTATATAAATCCTATTTTGATATGTGGAAGTGAATCATGGACAGTTGGTAGATTAATGAAAAAATTTTGGGAAGCTGGGTGATGTGGTTTTATAGACGAATGATGAGAATACTCTGGACAGATTAAAAACAATAATGATGATATCCTGAAAGAAACTGACTCACAAAGAGAACTGATTGGATTCATCAAAAAGAGACAATCTACATTTGTTGGTCATGTAATGATAAGGACAAAACTGGAGTACATTGTGAAAGTAGGAAAGTTGGAGAGGAATAGAGGCAGAGGGAGACCGAGAGAAAAAAATGCTGGACAGTTTGACATTACGGCATGGAGGATCTTCGGTGTCAGAGTTGATTGAAAATACACGAGACAGAAGGTTGCGGATAAACATGACTACCAATGCTACATGGCATGTACTTTAGGAAGAAGAAGAAGAAAAACAAGAAGATCTGCCTTTTGAATTCTCACTAGTTAGAAACTGCATGTGTGTGCTTGCATGTGCATATGTGTGTGTAGGTAGTTATGTAGGTAGGTATACAAACAGATAGACATGAACTGGTCATTTCTTGAAGATTCTTGTTAGGAATATATGGTTTGGGGCACTTTTAGCAAAAGTATGTAGGGATGAAAGGGTTAATTTGAATGTTTACTTTTCTAAAATGTGATAATAAATGAAAGGGAATCCAAGTCTCAAGTACTGCTGCGGTGACATTTGATGTGACCGTGTTTTCCATGATACCTCACATGCTGTCATATGTGTAGAAGATTGAAATAATGGCTGGGTGGTAACTGGCAGGTTCAGTAGAAGTATAATTATAAATACAACCTTCATACCAATCTTGTGCTGTCAGTGTCAGACTTGTGTAACCAGTAGGGGTTTACATTTTAAAGGGAGATAGCGAGAAGAAAGGATATAAAAGTAGAGAGACAGACAAGAAAATGAATAGTTAAAAGACATTTGAGAAGATAAAAGGTACTCCTATATGCGGACTGCAGTAACAGGTCTACACTCCCGACGATAAGGTAATAGTCAGTTCAGGTATAAAATAGTGTTTTCTAGTATCAGTATTGTAAAGTAATATTATAATGACTACAACCACTAAATAATGATACACCTATACTAAACAAATTTCTTTTTCTTCTTTTCAAAGTCCATGTCGTGTGGTGATGGTAGTCATGTCTATCCACAACCTTCTGTCTCGTGTACTTTCAATCAGCTCTAACACAGATAATCTTCCATGCCATTATGTCATACCGTCCAGCATCTGTTCTCTCGGTCTTCGTCTGCCTCTCCTCCCCTCGAACTTTCCTACCGTCATGATGTACTCCAGTTTTCTCCTTCTCATCACATGACCAAAGAATGTAGATACTTTCTGTTTGCAAGTTAAAAAGAAGGATAGATAAACAGATATATATGCTGGTAAAACTTTAACTTCAAATATGCTGGTACAGACTGTAAGTTGCATAAAAGTGTAGATAAACAGACAGATATGTTGGTAGGTAGTTTGCAAGTTAAATAGCAGTTCGAATAAACAGACATGTATGCTGGTAGACAGTTTGCAAGTTGAATAGATGTGTAGACAAATAGACAGAAATGCGGGTAGAAAGTTTGTTAGTTAACAAGAAGTGTAGACAGACAGATATGCTGGTAGACAGTTTGTAATTTGAATAGATGTGTAGACAAATTGACAGATATGCTGGTATACAGTTTGTATGTTGAATAGAAGTGTAGACAGACAGACAGATATGCTTGCAGATAGTTTGTAAGTTGAATACATTTGTAGGCAAATAGACAGATATGTTGGTAGACAGTTTGCAAATTGAATAGAAGTTTAGACGAACAGACAGTTATGCTGGTAGACAGTTTGTAAGTTGAATAGAAGTTTAGACGAACAGACAGATATGCTGGTAGACAGTTTGTAAGTTGAATAGAAGTTTAGACGAACAGACAGATATGCTGGTAGACAGTTTGTTAGTTGAATAGAAGTTTAGACGAACAGACAGATATGCTGGTAGACAGTTTGTAAGTTGAACAGAAGTTTAGATGAACAGACAGATATGCTGGTAGACAGTTTGTAAGTTGAATAGAAGTTTAGACGAACAGACAGATATGCTGGTAGACAGTTTGTAAGTTGAATAGAAGTTTAGACGAACAGACAGATATGCTGGTAGACAGTTTGTAAGTTGAATAGAAGTTTAGACGAACAGACAGATATGCTGGTAGACAGTTTGTAGGTTGAACAGAAGAGTTGATAAACAGACAGATAGGCTGGTAGAAAAGCAACCAAAATGATAGAGATAGATGTGACCAATCAGGTCTGTAGATATGTTGATGAATGGATGGATGGACAGTTGTGCACTGATTATTGGCTGAGTACATGAAGTGGGGGAAACACTTGTTAGGGTGAAAAAAACTTCAGTTTCAAAGACTTTATGAGGCCTAAGCTTTATAAATCCTTTAGGCACCTACCATTTTAAATTACAGCAGCTAATTTCAGAAAACTGTAAGCTGTGTGCGCTTTTCTATTATGTCATCATCATATAGCAGGTACTTTGCAGAACATTGCTGTCATCACGGTCTGCCTGAAAGAAGCTTGGTCTCTCGCCAGCTCTCCCGCCTCGCGTACTTTTTATACTCAAGGAGTCAAATATATTCTGTGCCCATCTTCATGTTGGTCGGCCCCTGCCCCTCCTTCCTGGTACCGTGCCTTTTGCTATTAATTTTTTTTCCAATCCATCGTGGTGCATGATATGACCAAAATATTTCAGTTTCCGAGACAGGATGCTGTTTATTAATTAGCCAATCTTCCTTGATGTTCAGATCTTTCAAGATGTCAGTATTTCTCCTTTTCTTTGTCCAAGATATTCCGAGAATCTTTCTACAGCATTTCAGCTCAAAAGCCCCTATTCTCTTTCTTAAGGACTAGGAGGTAGTCCACGACTCACATCTGTATGTTGCTACAGGGAAGATGCATGCTCTAAAAAAATCTAATTTTGATCTCCTTGATGGTGCTTAACCATAGACTTTTAATGCTGTTTTGTTGATAATAGGTATATATTGTAGTTTAATTGTTATTAAAAAATGATAAAGAATATGTTTGCAAAATCACAGATATTATATTACATAATCCACTAAAAGGCTTTAAGTTACAATTTAACACTTTTGATCTAATTTTTCTAACATAAGAATAATTAATTATGTCATCAAAAGATGTGTACATTTCATGTTGGTTTCTGTAAACATGATACCCAGTGCAATTTTTCTGGACACAAAGTTGCTCACAGTTCAACTTTTTATTCTCTTTAGCTGTGAAAATGACCAATCTCCTGGACACTTTGTCATTAAAAGAAAATTGCATTTGTGGCAAAATAAGAAATTCGTTTGAAGCTGCTGCAGATTGTGAGACTCTAAGCTGTAGCTTATTTAGCTGTGAAGATAATCCAACTCATAACCTATTTAGCTTTTAGCTAATCCGGCACTGGTTGTACTGTTTCAGTCGGAAGACACCTCCTCACAGAGTCCGCCTGGATGGAGTTGAGATCATGGAGAAAGCTATGAACCAAACAGAAATGTCAGCCATCATGCATGGATGTCCCAAATCTTTGCTTCTTAGTGGCCAGAAAGTTGTGCCTCATCTGCAGAAATCACAACTTTGGTGATAAAGACACTGACATTTACAGATACATTTGCATGTTATCTTTATTTATTTATTTATCATTTGTCTTCAATCTTATATACAGGCAATACATGACCCTTGAAGTCCTTGGAATGTGAATTGATCAGATTTCGCATGTGCTGGCTGAGAATATTATGAGTTGAGGTGCTGAAGTCCATTATTTTCTAGATTTCATTGTCACGAAACATCTGACATAACAATTTTAAGTAGAGCTTAGAAACAAAATCCTTTCTTCAGCTGAACACTTTCGGTTTTTGTTTCTGTTTCCAAGATGCAATTTTATTTAAGAATTTCCATCATTTACGTTTGGTATTTACTTCCAAACTGGATAGCTGCATGTCTGGCAAAGCTGTTAAGCTGAAACACTGGGTTGCTGGTGCATGTCACCTCTGTACATCTGAGCCTGCCGCTGGGACAGACACAGTTGAAGCAATAGTGATGATTGGAGCCTATTTTCTCAACGACAAGACAATCATTGCACGCACTGCCCTGCACCTGGCTTATGTCTGGTTTATTGGCACGTTCCATGACTCCATCTTTGGGCATGGCTGCCACAGCCAGCAGTAGAACAGTCATGTGCAGCACAAACATCTCTGATTGGTGGCTGAGAGTAGATCAAACTTCAGTCAACACTCACTGAACAGCTCAAAATTTTTGGTATCATGCATCAGACTATATGCTCATTAGTAAAGTCCAAATACATTGAACAGTTATGACTCTCTTCTGCATCAGGTAGTTGGCTACATTTAAGTCATGAATGACTGTTGGCGTCAGAATTGAGCTGCAGTTCTTGCGTGGGTGGGACCTTTATATTTGGCACATCTGACAGCGGCCTTATACATTTTTACTTTTCGTGTGCAAGCTACAAGATTTGCTGGGACTGACAAGTTTTTTTTACTAGTTTTCAAATGAGACGAGACATTGTGTTTGATCTTTACTGACACTGGAAAAGCCACGTTACAGGGCGATCCGTCTGCAATAAGGCTGGAATCTCGACTAATGACTATTTTTTTTCTCTTTCTGCCCCATATTATTATTATTATTTTAAATTCTCCTGACTCAAACATTTGCAATTTAGCACTAGAGCTAATCACTGTGTGATAAGTTAAATGAATTATAAGCTGGTAGCGAAAGAGTTAACATTTATCCTAGACTTTCTCTTGTGGGTTACAGAACCCCATTGAAAGAATAAAAAAAAAAAAGACCTACTCCCCCCCCCCCCCCCCCAAAAAAAAAAACCCCACAAATAAACATCGACTAACTGGAGTGGGGGAAGAGGGGGGAAGGGGGATCTTTCAAAGACGAAGTGCATCTGCCTAAAAGGCAAGGAACTAGCCGCCTGCATACAGGCCTGCCAGATATATGAAACAAATGGTGTGCAAAACTCATATTCTAGAAAAAGACTAAACAACCAGTACTTTCTGCCAGCATTTACAGCTAAGATAAAGAAGAAGTCTTTTATAAAACTCAACCAACAACAAAGCAACTATTGATCAAAATAAGTGACCCTGTTTCACATCAGAACATTCTGAACAATCACTTACAAACACAGATATTTTCCATCACCCATGTGGACAGACAGAACACAGATATGCCCCTATCCTCAAGACTCATGTTTTATTCATTAGATACTGATATATGGAAGTAAAACATCAACAATTAGCAGAAAAGTGAGAATTTGTGTGCAAGCTGCATGGTTGCAATTTTGTACAAGCAAAATGAAAACACCATAAACAGATGAAAAAGTGTATGATGATGTCTTGAAAGAAATTAACTCACAAAGAGGACTGGTTACCCACACCAGAAGAAACTGGTCAACATACTTTGGACACATCAAAAATGAAAAACTAGACTTTGTCATGAAAACTTGACAGGTTTGAAGAGAAGAGATGCCATGGGAGAAAAGGGGAAGTGAGGGGGGGGGGGGAACCAAGAGAGATAGAGTATTAAACAGCTTGATATCATGTCATGAAGTGGCATCTGGATTAAAAACATTTGACAGTATATATGAGAGACAGAAGACAGATAGATATAATAGCCACAACTACAAATCGTGAACCACGATAAGCAGAATCATAGTATGTCAGGTTAAATGTTACATAAATATTTTTATAAAAACGTGGATGAATAAGTTGGGGAAAAAATGACATTCTACAAGACTTAGGAAATGAGCTAGATCATAACAGACATAGGTCTTCAGGACATGTAGCCATAAAGTGCCTCAGTAATTACCAATTTCTATGATTACATTAGAAATTTTTTTTTCCCTGTTGGATTAGCATCTGAAAGTGACTCTTTGAGCTTCTGCTAGTCAAACCTCTGAGTTGCAGTCCTGATGGGAGAACAAGAAAAAACATGTCTCAAACTTAAATATGTCAGTCATTTTGAATACAATGATTTGCTGATGCCGCTTCCACATATGGACTTCAGTCCATGGTTGCACCTCCTAAATTACTGAGTTAAGTGCTTGGTGCAGCACTGTGGGCTGTGTATTTGTGTGGAGTGCCTGCAGTGGTTGTGTGGTTATATTCAGAAAACAGCGGGTAGCTGGTTTGCGTTAGAGCTGGCGAAATACTTTATGCAGTAATTATGCATGTGTACGGAAGGCTCATGCATCTGCCTTAACATTTACTGGTGTATACCTTTTGGATCTGCAGGGATTAATTGTTCACCTGTTTTCAAATGGGGCAGTGTAGAGCTTTTCCAGTGAATTACACAGGCACAGCAAAGGAGCAGTTATGGTTTAGCCAGTTTGCGGTGAAGTTAAAACCTCAAACTATTACTACTGTTACTGCTGCTGCTAAATGTCACAATGGCTTGTGAAGAACAGTGGGCATGGTTCCAGGAAAAGGAGGTATGTGTCATCTAGCGTTAAGTTAGAGAAAGAAAATATACACGAGACAAAGGGATTGGCAAGAGACTTTTGGCTGGCCACAAAAAGAATTACATTCTGAAGGGGAAAAAAACGTGGTATATGGGTGATGATGTAGGCATACGTTATAATTCTAAATGTGGTTTAAGTCTGATTAGCGTTATGGTTTGCCCACTTGGAGAGAATCCCTTCTGAAGCTACACCATACACTGTATATTTTGTTTCTGGTGCGTCAGCCTGCCAGGCAGCGTAGGTTGCACAGGCAGAAAAACGGAGGCAGACTAGAAAACAACCGTATTGCTAATCCCACACTTACTGCGGCTTCCACCTGTTGTCCGCACTGCTGAAGAGCAGAGCAGAGCAGATATAGTCAACACTGTACGAACTGGGCTAGTGGAGAATGAGGAATCCATGACACTAACACGATTGCGTGACATGGGAGTTAAGCATGGTGATGCACGTCTTTGCCGTCTTCGAGGCCGAGAAAGGAGACAATATAACCAGCTTCTCATGGGGACAATTAGTAGAAGTACTTTGGAGTGGCTGCTGCTTCGGAGAACTGAGCACGCATGGGTATGCCCAATGTGCAGTGACATTAATTGTGATAACAAAACATAAAATAACATCTTAGTAGGGAGTCGGCAGTACGAAACCCAAGTTCAAGGTCTCCTTCGTGCCAAAGAACTGCATGGCTGTTGGGTGAACAGTCGTTAACGATGGCAGGCAGGTCGTTGTAGGGGCGACGCCTGCTGGTGGATGTAATGTTCTAAGTCCCTTCCCCAGCTAATAATGAGGGTACTGCTGGGGTGATTGTTTATTAATCCTCATATAATTCTTCCGGTCAAAATGGACGCTAGGCAGGGTCACTTTTTTTTTTTTAAAGCCGTGGCAATTTTTTTTTTTTTTTGCCAGACGGTGGCCTTTGCATTTTTGCTCCATTTGTAGACTGGAAGGATGTAGTTTCGTCGCCCAGCTTCTGAGTTGAGTGCATGGCGTGACACTGTGAGCTGCGTTTGTTTTTCGTTGGCACAGGAGCGGAGCATCTGTGGGGTGACCCGTTTGCTATGAAGCTGAAACTAGGATTACCAGATTATCACTGCTCAAAAACTTCCCGGACTCATAATGAACTAATCGGCCACCTTCGTACTCATAATCATGACTACTTTGGATAAAAAGTACTGTTCATCACTCGTGATGGACGAACAATAATATTCCAAAGGAGGAGAGGGACGTAGATCAAGAGGCAGTCCAAGAACAAGATGGGAAGGTAACATTAGAGAAACTCTGCAGCACTACAATGTGTCTATGGTACAAAGCAGAACCTTGTATCTCACTCGACACCCGAAGCGGTAAAAGAGAAGGTAAAGAAGAAGAAGTGTTGTATTTGTATGCTTGCTGTATCTTTCAGCGGTGTAATAGTTTCATACACATCTGCGTGTATGATGTTTTTTTTTATATAAAAAAAAAAATTAGTTCTCTTTGTTGATTTATGAAGTGCTTTTGTTGGGACCATGTGTGATGTACAGACTTGCTTAGTGTCTCCCTGTCTGTCTGTAGGTTGGTATATGTGGATGATTACTGAGTCATACTTATGTTCCTGCTAGATGGACGAACAATAATATTCCAAAGGAGGAGAGGGACGTAGATCAAGAGGCAGTCCAAGAACAAGATGGGAAGGTAACATTAGAGAAACTCTGCAGCACTACAATGTGTCTATGGTCGAAGCAGCCAGAAGAGTACAAAGCAGAACCTTGTATCTCACTCGACACCCGAAGCGGTAAAAGAGAAGGTAAAGAAGAAGAAGTGTTGTATTTGTATGCTTGCTGTATCTTTCAGCGGTGTAATAGTTTCATACACATCTGCGTGTATGATGTTTTTTTTTATATAAAAAAAAAAATTAGTTCTCTTTGTTGATTTATGAAGTGCTTTTGTTGAGACCATGTGTGATGTACAGACTTGCTTAGTGTCTCCCTGTCTGTCTGTAGGTTGGTATATGTGGATGATTACTGAGTCATACTTATGTTCCTGCTAGACATTTGTCTGCTTATCTACCTGTATAAACGACTATATACCTGCTAATAAACGTACACCCATAAGCCTGTCGGCATCTT